GTTCAACTACATCATCTTATTAACTAGTAAGAAAATAAGTCGAAGTGGGAGCTGAACCCACGACTTAATAAGTTAAATCATAGCGTAGCAATCTACTGCCGTAACCCTGAGCAGGCTATTCGACCTAATATATGAGACTTCTTGGATGGCGTTTGGGCCTACAACCGAATGGTGAACACCGATGCGCTCTCGCATTGACCTCCACAGAAATAATGATATCTCAATCTCTAACACGTTTAGTATTATTAACAGTAATATTGTACAACACTGATTCTTAAATTCTATCAAAGTCGTCGTCTTTTACAGTTTTATATGAAAAAATTTTTACGAATGGTTTCGTACTTAGATGCCATCAGTAATTATCCAAAATAATTTAGCTACTCGGCGATGCTTTTCCACAACCGATACACCAGAGATTTTCCCTTTCTCGGTCCTCTCGTTCTAGAGTTAGACTCTTTCATTTTTCAAAACATCTATAGAAGATAGGAAACCAACTGTCTCACGACGTTCTAAATCCAACTCACGTTCCTCTTTAATCGGCGAACAGCCGAACCCTTGGAACCTTCTTCAGCTCCAGGATGTGATGAGTCGACATCGAGGTGCCAAACGGCTCCGTCGATAGGAGCTCTTAGGAGTCATCAGCCTGTTATCCCCGGAGTGCCTTTTATCCGTTGAGCGATAATCTTTCCACAAAGAATTATCGGATCACTATGACCGACTTTCGTCCCTGTTTGATATGTCTATCTTACAGTCAAGCAAGCTTTTACCATTATGCTCTACAATTGATACTATTATCCAATTTGAGCTTACCTTTGTACACCTCCGTTACTCTTTAGGAGGTGACCGCCCCAGTCAAACTACCAACCATACACTGTCTATTTAAAAAAATATTAGTTATTTATTATAATAAGAGTGGTATTTCAAGGATATCTAAACAATTTACTAGCGTAAAGATCTAAAAGATTCCCACTTATGCTGCAGGTATTAGATAAAATAACAATATAAAGATGTAGTAAAGGTTCTCGGGGTCTTTCCGTCTAACTATAGAAAATCCGCATCTTCACGGATAATTCAAATTCACTGAGTCTATATGGGAGACAGCGGGGATGTCGTTACACCATTCATGCAGGTCGGAACTTTATCGACAAGGAATTTCGCTACCTTAGGACCGTCAGAGTTACGCCCGCCGTTTACTGGGACTTCCATTTAATGCGCAAACATCTCCTTTTAATCTTCCAGCACCGGGCAGGTGTCAGACCCTATACATCATGTTACCATTTAGCAGAGTCCTAAGTTTTTATTAAACAGTCGCAACCCCCTATTTTGTGACACCTAATTAATTTAAATAATTAGGTACTTTTTATCCCGAAGTTACAAAGTCATTTTGCCGAGTTCCTTCAATATAGTTCTCTCATTCACCTTAGTCTACTCGACCTATCCACCTGTGTCGGTTTAGGGTACGGTTTTTAATTAAAAAAGCTATTTCCTGAAAAATTAAAAAATTTTTGTCACTTTTTTAAAAAAATTTAATTTAAAAATTATCCCATCAAAATTTGCTTTCGTCAAATCTTTCTTAGGGGCCGTTTCACTCTATGCAATACATTTTAACATAGAAACCCTTGGATTTACGGTGATAACGATTCATATACGTTATTTTTTGTTACTAATGCCAGCATTTTCTTTTCTGATATCTTCAATATATTTCACAATATATCTTTATTAACATACAGAATGTTCCGCTACCGTTTTATTTAAAATAAAACTTGCCGCTTCGGTAAATTTCTTAAGTCTCGATACATTTTAGGCGCAAAAAAACTAGACCAATGAGCTATTACGCTTTCTTTAAAGGATGGCTGCTTCCAAGCCTACCTACTGGTTGTAATAATTTTTTCACTTCCTTTTTCACTTAGAATATTATTTAGAGACCTTAGCGATCAATCTGGGCTGTTTCCCTCTTGACAATAGACCTTAGCGCCTAATGTCTGTCTATTTAAATTACTTTTTTTTGTATTCGGAGTTTCTAAGAATTTAGTAAGTTTTTACACCCCCTAGCTCAATGAGTGCTCTACCCCAAAAAAAGATTTTAAATGCTCTACTTCAATAGATTTCGCGGAAAACCAGCTATCTCTGAGTTTGATTAGCCTTTCACTCCTAACCACAAATCATCTCCATATTTGCCACATATGTGAG